TCAAAAAAAAATTTAATTTATGTATTTTATAATATGTTGAATTAAAAAATATATCAATAATTGTTCATTGATAAAGTCAATGTCAATTTTTATTCTTTCAACATAAATTTATGGTAAAAAATGTGTTCATTACATTTTTAACTCTTGCGTTAAAGGCACGTGTTAAAAAAATTCAAGTTTCAAATTATAAAATGTGAAAAATAAGGGGGAGAAAAAGAACATACTTTAAATACTAGCTTGAGGGTGGTAGTCTTTGGCACATTGAATTGGGTGCTTCCAAGCTTTTTGTTGATTTCTCTGTCAACAGTTAACATAATTAAGCGCGATTAATTAGTACATAAGTTTTTTTTTTTTGCAACATATGAATTGCAATAAAAAAAAAGAGTAAAATCATTAAAAAAAAGTAAAATCATTAAAAAAAAAAAGAAATTAAATGCAAGGACTTATCAAACCAATTAAAATATGGCTTCCTTGTTTAAGGAACTTGCATTTGCCGACCTCCCAAGCAACTCCAGTAAACTTCTATTGTGTAGAAGAAGAATAAACGTCCATTTTATTTTTGAAAAGATATTTTCTATTGCAAAAGTTGAATTGAATGAAAATTTTAAAAAAATATATTTTTTGCCTTCCTTTTTTAAAAGGAAATATATATATATAATATTTCCATTGTAAGAACTCTCTAATTAGAAGTTGAAATGAATTTCTAGAAATGAGTTTTTACCACTATTAAACTATCAATTTCTGAAATTTTTTAAGATTATTGTATATATAAATTCATCGTTCAAAACTTCTTTTAAAAAAAAATAGTAAGTTTGCTCAAACAAAACTTTTAGTAAAGCTCAAACAAAACTTTTAGTAAAGCTAAAGGTAAACAAAACATGTTCTTAATATCTTCATTTTTTTAGAAAAAAGGGTGAGGAGGAGACAGAAATATACTCGACTGTTTCACAGACTGCTCGGTAGAAATCAGCTAAGGTTAAATCCTTGCCATCTGCAAAATGAGTTTGATAGCATCTCTCGACAATGCTATCGAACTCGTTACTCTTACTTCCAACGTTTCCTGCAATTTTTATCATGATTCTTACATCAGAGTAAAAAAAATAAATGGAAATCAAAATGAGAGAGAAGAGAGAAGAGAAGAGGATACCAGAAGCAGATTGGGCCATCTTTAATTTCTTCTTTTTTGTGATCACATTTACCTGAATGAGGGAAAAAAGGAGCTTTATATAAGTTGCATGTATGTCATTCTTCAAGGCAAAGAAAACGAGACTTGCTAGGAAGGGAGAGCATATGGCTTTCCTAGACATCAAGAAAGCTTTAGAAAATATCTCTTATATATGTAAGGGAATCAAAGCTTCTTTTATGCTAAAGAAATGAATCTGAGATGGGAAAACACCAGAGGAACTTGCACAATAGGAAGACATTAATTGTAATCAGGATACACTTAGAAATTTATTTGTAAGCAAAAATGATATTATAATCTGTAGCATGACATTGTAATCAAATAATTATACTGTTTATTGACTCCTTTTAATTATATATAAGTCTACATGTTATTTACATTTATTTATTTAATGATATATATCATGAATTCATGATTATAAACTTACATTTTTGCTTGTACCAGTTGTACCCCTAAAAAAAGTAATTTGCACAAAGCATGTTCGAATTAATCATACCACACCCATAAAATTAAGAAATCATAATAAATATAGTTTTTCTTTTTCATAAGGTTAAAACCCCTTTTTAGTCCCTGAACTATTGTACGGACCCCCGATTTGGTCCCTGAACTAAAAAAATCCCTGATTTGGTCCTATTGTTTACCATTTTTACCTCGATTCGGTCCTTCCATTAAAAATCTAGTGACGTGTGCTGTTAACTAACGGGAACACGATGACATGTTATCTAATAATCCACGTGGAAGATAATATAGTCAAAAAGTGATGATGTGGAAAAAATAATAATATAAAAAAATATTATGAAAAATAAAATTT